ATGAATGTAGGTATGTAAAGGCAACATTGATATACTTTTTCAAAAGTTTAATCTTTTTTCTTTTTTTTTTCCTACAGGAACAATGTAAAGTAGATTTAATTTATTTAGGTGAGCAAAATTTCCACTAAATCCTTCCGAGATTTTTGTAGCTATGCTTCTGTACATGAAGGATGACTATTCTTATGTGGTACTACCTTGTCATCACAGTGTCTCCTCTAATAGCCAGGACTGTTTCTCTTTCAAATGTAGAGTGTCTAAAGTTATGATAATGGTAAAGAGATGAGATATTTAGATATATTCAGGTATTTAGTCTATGTATGTGGTTGCCATGATGGATCAATAACCCAGTTTGTTTTAGTTCTTTTCCTTGTTAAGAAAGARTAAAAACAAAACCAACAGAAAACCATGGGGGTTATTATCTGTTCTTTGGATTCAGTTTGCCAGATTTCTGTTGGCAACTATGATATTTCAAAGATTTTAATCATCTCCCAAGCCAGGTGAAAACACAAGACCATTCTAATTTTTTTTTCTACATTATATGCATGTAACATAAAAAGATCATAGTATGTAGTTAGTTTTGTTTGGTTTTGGTAGCTTGACTTCAATGACCAAAGTATCTGTTAATAGAAATCATTCTGTCTTCTAAAGTTCTGAAGTTTTTTTTTTGGTTTTTTTTTAATCACTGGATTTCCCCTTTTTTCTTCAAAAACTATTGATAATTGTTTATTCTTGAATTTTCTCAATAATACATACATCTTGCCCATTTTATAATGCAGTTCAGTTCAGTTTGTGTTAGGAGTTATTTGTAGCTTTCTTTCCTTTAAAATAAGATATAATACAGTGAGATCCTCGCCCACTGCTGCCACAGCCCATCTTTCCTTTCCTTGAAATGTTATCCAAGACATTTGTTTTATTGACTTGAATCRGGAGAAAGTGCATGCTTTGAAAGACCAAGGATTCTATTCCAGAAGACTTAATGGAAAAGCTAGAGGATTTCTCCTCCCTCTGGCCATTTAATACACGTTCTCCTCTTATTCACTTCCCATCTTTTTCWTTGACACACTGAAAATTACGTAGGAAAATAATAAGAGAATCCAATAGTTTGAAGTTTTCTATATGAAATATTTTATAAGAGAAGCATTTATTGTGTTTATAAATCTTTCAGCTTAGCTATTGATGTTCTTTAAGAAGGAAAAAAACCCTCATATCAAAGCATATTTTGTAAGCTGAAACCACACTCAATATACAGACCAGTGTGTATTTCGCAGATAGTTTCAGGGCTTAGTATGAAATACATGTTTTAAGACTCTGAAAATCAGCATTTTGGACTTCCTAGGAGATAGAGCAAAAATCCCAATTAAACAAAACTTTTTTCTGGGTATAAAAAGGAGTACTGGCCAATYGAAAGCCATAATAGCTGCTTTACTATTAGGAAAATTTCAAGAAATTCCAATGTATTTCAGTTCCAGATAATGAACTTCTACTAAAGCTAAAAAGCAGCCCTTCACTGTCACTGAAAGAGAGAAAATACTTTGGATTGCTCTGRATCTTCTTAGCTGGGTCAGCCATGGAACCCATGTAAATGCTGTTGGGCAGTTACATGAGCAAATACGAGATCAGTTCTCCCACTTCTGTACTCCCTCCCGGGTAGRACATCTGAAAATGTGAAAGTGAGATGTCTGGGTAAAACCTTTGGTGCTTAGGAAGCCCAGGAAGAGTAGGAGAGATTATTTGGGATGTTTGTTGGGAAAGCAGGTGTTTAAATCMTGTCTGTAGTGATAAGAGCAGAGAGGAATTACATTCAGCACAGTTGAACAGCACAGCTCAACTGCAAACACCTACATTATTTTCCTTTTCTATGGGAAAAGACAAAACTCCTTATTGGGTGCTGTTTTTGGCCTTTTTCTGGACAATGGCTGAGCACTGTCTGGAAATGTCGGAATTAGCACAGGCCAAAGCTGTGAAAGCAGTGGACTGACAGTCCTAGAGCATGGATGAGACTTGCCTAGTACTCTGTGTAGCCTCCCTAGGTAAAACAGAGCAGAAGGGGACCAGATTATTAAAAATATCACTATAGACTATAGACAAGTTTGAAATCAGCTGCAGGGAAAAGAAAATAAAAAAGGATACAGAGTGGGAGGCATTCATCTGGGAAACAGATCTCAGGAACAGGTATACTTATGCATTCTTTAGAGATGTGGACAAGAATTCAAAAGTAATTTTGAGCCAAAGCTGAGGACTTGTGAATCAAAGCAGGAAGATGATGTGTATGAACTCAGATTGGATACACAAAGATCTTCATAGAAGCCCACGATTGCATTATTTACTTCTGCTACTGAATAAACATTTTCTGTCTTGCCTAAGCAGATACATGGGTTTGCTCATTTTCTTGTTACCATGTATGGTGCAGTCCCTAAAATGCACTAAATGCACTCCCTAAAAACTGATGTACACTTCAAATATGAGTCATAAACCAACTTAACTACTGTTAGAACTATTTTATGAAAAGAGCTTGTGGGTTCATGCTAAACAGGTCTAAGGTGTTAATGATCAAGTAAGAACATCTGTGAATCTATAACTGTTACCAGACCCAGAGTTCCTGTTTCCAACCAACTGACAACAGTCACTGACTAATTAAAAATACGAAAACCATTGCTTTATTTCACCTCACCTTGAATCCTGTGTGCARCTTTGGGTGCCACTACATAAGAAAGCTATAAAGCCATTAGATAATKTCTAAAGGAAGGCAACAAAGATGGTGAAGGGCCTTGAGGGGATGTCATATGAGGAGTGGCTGAGGTCACTTGGTCTGTTCAGCCTGGAGGAGGCTGAGGGGAGACCTCATTGCAGTTACAACTTCCTCATGAGGGGAAGAGGAAGAGCAGGCACTGATCTCTTCTCTGTCGTGACAGGACCTGAGGGAATGGCCTGAAGTTGTCTCAGAGGAGGTTTAAGCTGGATATCAGGAAAAGGTTCTCCATCCAGAGGGTGGTTGGGCACTGGGACAGGCTCCCCAGGGAAATGGTCACAGGATCAGCCTGACAGAGTTCAAAAAGTGCATGGACAATGCTCTCAGGCACCTGGTGTGACTGTTGGGGATGGTTCTACCCAGGGCTAAGAGTTGAACTCAATGATCCTTGTGGGTCTTTTCCAGCTGAGCTTATTCTGTGAATCCTTTTCTTATCTCTAATGATTTGACATGTAGATGCTGTTCAGTGTCTGTTTCTGAAGCTTTCATTCTTTGAATTGATGAAGCTGKCTATTTGTGTTGCGTTATTCGTCACTGAAGTCATTAAATATGTTTTCTGCTTGAAATTTGTACAGTAGTAATAAAATGAATGCCAAATAATAAACTAATCTGCCCAATTGTTACTAAGTTGTGTTATTGTTGTAAATGTCAGTATAACAACTGAAGAATTAAAAATGTGGTAGGTGATATAGTTGACAGTGGGAAAACCACTTTCTGTTTAAGAGTTTGTTTAAGAACAAAAAGTACACACATCACCTAGAATTCCTTCTCATTAATYATTTACTGTGTGTAAGAAACCTTARTGAGAAATTRAAATTGAATTTGTAATGGAAAAAAACCCCATGTTCTATAGAATGCAGCAGGCCAAAACTGCTATAAAGACATAAACAAAAACCATGGATTAGTAATAAAGGCTTCATTTTATCACCTAACAACCTTACCCTTACCTGCCACTGTTGCAAACCATGTAAAATAAAACTGGTGATTCTGGAGCTACTACACTGAAATTAATTATACAATTTAAGCTGTTATTGACATTGATAAAATTATAACTAATGAGATGAAACCTACTGAAATCAAACCAAACTCTCATCTAGATTGGTCATTTCAGGTGTCAGTATTTTAATTTTAATTTTAACTGCTTAAAAATTTAATCTATAGTTTTCTYTTTTTTTATTAAATCAGGCCTAGAAAGAATGGAAATGGTCAGCTGACTGTATTGGCTTTTAGTCTGTGATTAATGCAAGGCAGTTACTAGCATTTTCAGATAATCAAAACAAATACAAAAAAAGAGATTTTTTTTTTTGTTATGTAACTGCCCAGATAACAAGTATCTAGACAGTAAATAATGCATTCCAAAGCAGTTAAGTGGACAATAAAATGGGGAACAAGCAGACCTCTCTGTACTCAGTCACTCAGGTTTTTTATCACCTTTGTAGCCTGGTGTCCAATCTAACTTTACAGGAAACTTTTCTATGTCCAAAAGAGTTTAATGACAAACATCATTGTTTGGAGGACAAAAAGTAGCAAAAATAAAAATCAACATGTGCATTTTACTTTTCTGTTTAAATTGTGACAATAGTTGCAATAGTCACAGGTCCTGCAGCCATGGCTATGCATCATCAGATGACAACATCTTTAAAGAGTTCCTTTAAAGCTCCCAAATGCAGACACTGGTTCTCACTGCAGTAGATTCATCCCCTGGTTTACAGCTGCTGGCATTCAGGAACCCTAATGCGTGTTTTAGTGCTGTGGACTGGATAAGGTTTTATTTGAAGGAGAGCAGCACCATCTATTGCAACCTGATAGCTTAGCTCTAGATGATATAAAGAGAGACATGGCCTGAGCCCAGTTTTCAATTCTTTGTTGCATGAACTTTCATAAATTTGTCCTTGACCAGCTTCAAATGAGATTAGGATCTCAGTGAGTATACAATAAGGTGCAGGGACAGGGATGTGTTCCATGCATGCCTAATAAAAAGTCATGTGTAATAGAMACACCTGTTCACAAACTAAGATCATGTCATAGCATAAGCCTAGTCCTGACTAACTGTTGCTTTGAAATGGATGGAGTTTTCATTTCTGGAGGAGGAAGACAGTCAAAAGTTAAAATCATATTTTATCCAGGTGATATTCTTCACAATTTTCTTCCAAAAGCAGCATTAATATAGGTGTGCAGTACAGTATGTTCTTCTAATAATGACAGTGCTATTGTCATCCATCTGTATTTCTGGTTCTTCTCTTTTTTTCAGACTGTCTACAAAGCCTGGCTCTGTTCCCAGTATTTTGAAGTCACACAGTTTCACTGCAGCAACAGAATTCCTTGCAAGCAATACTGTTTGGAGGTTCAAACGAGGTGTCCCTTTATACTACCAGACAATGATGATGTCATCTATGGAGGACTATCAAGTTTCATCTGTACAGGTACAGTATGAATAAAATAATTTCACTTGGTTTGTTTGCCTACAGTTTTATGTCAGATAAATTGAGAATCTGAAGCACAGCATTCAATATGGTGCAGCAACTCTCAGAAAGTGTTTAAGAAAAGATCTTTCACTAATGACAAATCAGTTGTTCACCTGGGAAGAACTGGTCTTTATTTGTTTCTTCTTGAGTCTTGTTACATTCTGTGAGTATTTTTAAATTTATTGCTAATATATATCTCAGGTACCACAGATAACTTTTTCAGGAATGCGTGGGAGTCATCCACAAAAATTTCAGTTTATACCAATATTATCTTTAGATTTCTGCTGCCTAGAGTATCATCTGAGAATCTTGAAGATATTCAGGCAACTTAATTCCAGTAAATCAGTGAAAATGAATTTCAGTATTTAGATAATTTGACATCCTCATCCAAATATCAGAAATTAGACTGCTTTCACCTCTAAATTAGGGCTCCTCTGGAAATCTTGATGCTAAAAAGGTTGCCTAAGGTAAGCTACTTAAAACCAGAGTCAATTATAAAAATCCATATATGTTATATACCATCTCAGATGCAGGCATAAGGAACACTTCACCTCATATACTCTGTTTGAAATTAGGGTGATACTGGCAGCAAGGTATTTACTGGATTTCTTCTTGGAGATTAAGCTATTGCACAAAATCGAGCAATRTCCTTCCATATGCAAAAGAAAATACAATGAAAAGTGAGCTGAGTTACAGTTTCAAGTCATCAATAAGGTAATGGTGCTTAGCACTTCAATGYCTTTTGTAAAAATGAATAGCCTTCCAGTAGGCATATGCAGTAAACAAATGAATATTATTTTCCAATTAAAGGCAGCACAATCAAAATTGAAGTGAGAGACTTGAGAGAATTTCATTTGCCACAAGTACACAACTTACATGTGTGTGTGTTTATTCATGTATATACATGTGTGTACACACACACATACACAATGGCAAAAAACAAACCAAGAGTAAACAAAACCATCTTGGCTTGTATTTCAGAAAATCTTTAGGAAATGCATATACAGCTTTCCATTTGCGTAGTACAACTCATAAGCCAAATTCCTTCCTAAAACACACAAAATAGATGATTTTGAAAAGATTACTGGCATCTCTGAGTTTGGGATGAAAAAGCAGATTWAGGGGAGGATTAAACTCATTTTATWGCAGGTATTAGTAATGTGGATATCTACACGTAAACTCTGTGACTAAGCTCTCCCTAGAGTCACTGCTAAGGAAGAGATCTGCTGACTGTCTCAGTCAGTAGAGCTGAGATCTGTTTAACTCACCCTAAGCAAGCACCTGCACCTGATGACAGGACTTGCTCATGTTGCTGGCTGAGCTCTATTTGCTTTAGTTGCTGTTAGTCACCAGGGTTTTATTGCASACACTTAAAATCAGGGTGACCTAAATTTCATCTCAGTAGTCCACTAACTAATATTTGGGTGAACTTTTTGTCCTCTCAAGTCCAAACCCAGCAATTCAAACTTTGTCGGGAATTCAGGCCTGTTTTCACCCTTACTAAGCAGCAACTCACTGTGAGTACATCCTGCCACCAAACAATGAGAAATTAAACAATAATCTGCTCTGAGATTAAAGAATTATACCTCTCTGCATCTTAATGGAAAACAGATTTATTTCATGCAAAGCACAGTGAGTTCAACAGCAAACAAAAAGTTTGTGACTTGACACTTGAAAACTTTTTTTTCAGAAAACAGCTGAAAGCAGGTCACCCATGTTTGAGGGACATCTCCTATTGCACCTTCTGTGAGTTTCTGTCTAGCAACCCTTTTCTGAGATTTCTAGTGATGGATCTGTCTCTTCATTAGAAAAACACAAAAAAAGCTCAAAAGGTATTTAATATGTGGGTGTCAAGTAACAGGAAAAGGTATATGAGAGATAGCTGCTTTTATTTGATATTGACTGCAGCCCGGACCGCAGCATGAGCACAAAACCAGTATATGTAATTTTTCAATTGCAGCCAGATAGAGGCTGGTGTGGCTCTATGTGTCCATGCTGGGACATGCCTTAGCAATAGGAGCTGCCACCTCCCCTTTCTATCTTGTCCTACTGCAGCAGAGACAAAGCACAGAGACCTGGACATCAGGGAACCAACCCACTCTTTTTGTTCTTTCAGGGCAGGTTTTATGTGATGTTGGAGTAAAAACATAATGGAAGCTGTAAAAGGAAATAATAACAAAGGTTTTACCCTTCCCTGAAAGATCCACATGATAAGAAAACAGCATAAGATTAACTATTTTTCACCAAAAAATAATTCAGTCATYGTTATATTTGCCATAAATCGAAAAGAAAATAAATGGTAGTTTATTATATGGATTAATAATGACTTCTTAGAAATTCCTGTTATTTATAATAAGTAACAAGTATTTTAGCCTGAGAATATCTTATTTGATCATCTCCAAAGAAAGCAGGAGGAAAGGGAGCAGGCATGCTAAGCTCATCATGTATCAGCAGAACTTGTCTTTTGTAGAAATGCATGTGAGTGTGTGGAACAACCACAGCGTGAAAGAAAGTACTTGGGAGATTAATCAAAATAATCAGAATCACAGTGTGGTTCTGATTATGGAAATATCCAGTTAGGTAGAAAGAATTTAGTGTTCCCTTCTTGCTCCCTTTCTTCCAGGACATAGAATGAAAGAAGCTGAAACTTCCAGCAAGTGCTATGCTGGAATATACTGATTTTCAGATTCAATAAAATTGAGTAATTGATTACAGTTTAGGGCTTAAGAGTTCATATCCATATGATTAAATTTTCCAGTGGTTTCATCCAAAATTTCTTTCTACAGCTCAGCTGTCTAGAATTGCCCATGCAAACCAGAATATCATTTAAGGGAGATAACAATAGTTTTCAGGTGCAGAAACACACAGGTGGCAGATTACAGTGAATTAGCCCCATGCAAGTTCCAGGTCAAGGTTTCATACTGTAATTCCTAACATAACAGTGTTCCTACCAACAGGATTGTTTTCTACTGTARATGTAATCCCTTCCTTAACTAAATAAGGAGATGGGTTACAAAACCATACTGCTGTSCCCCACCCATTAATGAACATTTGGTCTACAGAATTAGACTAGATTTAGAGTAAGGAAAAATCCCTTCAAAGGCATGTAGGGTTGACATGAGAGAGATGCCCAGTACCAACTGCTTCATTGTGCAGGTCCTGCATTTCCWTATTCACTTGTTAATACAGGTATAGCCTATTCTGGCTGCTGGGAGAAACTGCTTTCCATGTGCCAAGCCTGGACCACTTTAGSGTGCAGATTTAGGGATAATGGTGTTATTAAGGGCTTTCTTTGTAATGACCACAACTTACGGTCTCTTTGTGCCCTGTGGCACATAACAAGGCCATCACCCAGCATCAAATATCAGCAARGAAATCCCAGCCACATGCTTACAATCTTTGTACAAGAGATGTCATGGCACGTAATGACATGGAGAGTTCCTCTTTGGAGGAAAGGAAAGGAATGCAGGGACCAGCAACAAGGCAGAGATGTGTTGCATTAACTTCTTCCAAATGTAGCATGGTACCCTCCAGTTCTTCCTAAGAGCAGTGCCATTAGAACCAGTCTTCTGCCATCTGGAGGAGACTCAAATTTGTCTGTTCTCCTGTGTTGGACGGACTTTTGATACTTTTCAGTTAGGAGAAAGTAAGGAGAGAGAAGAGGTAAGTGGACAGGTGATTCAGGTCTTTTAAATCACTGAATCTTTCAGTTCATATTAGTTTAGACTCCTAATTTCATGCGTTCTGATAATTTCATGTGTTCTGATTAACATCTCAGTTGTTTGTAACATGCAGTGTGAATCAATTTTTGGCAAATAACAGTAACATGTGTTTTTGTGATCCACGTAAGGTAACACTTCCACAGAAACTCCTCCTTCTTTAGGGTAAAGAATTCACTGGAAATGAAACTGTCAGTCATGCTAATGTTTTTAAAGACATAGTGTGAATTATTACRGAGAATTCTCATCAATCTGTAGAAGAAATTTGATGACTAACAAAGCTCAGCAAAGGTATCAGAAATTCTTGAAAGTGTAACTTCCTCTCAAGGGGCAGATGAGTGATTGAGTTTCACCAGCAGGTTTAGCTGTTTCAAAACAGATGCCCTGTTTTCAGAGCAAATTGAAAAGCAATTTCCTTGAGAAAATGTGATATATAGTAAGCATGACAATCTATCTCTTCTTTGCAGAACAATTCAAGAACACAAAATATCTCTGAATTCAATCTGCTTTATATTATTCTTGGCAAATTCAAAAAACCCAATATATTTGATGCAAATTCTCCCTCTAAAAATATCTCATAATAGTGTGTCATTTTCCTCTGGTCCACACCTCTTAATAGGTCCTAAAATATAAAAATATTAAGCTAAAACAGGCAGCAGGACAAATCCCTTTTATGTTTGACAAGCTTGGTTTAAATCATTACTGGCTATGGATTTGCTTACAAGGACATTTTGACATGGTTTTTGCAGCAAAATCTGTTAACTAAATAGCTCATCTTTTTAAGTCTAGGGTTCTTCTTGTCTTGAATATTGGGGCTTTCCCCAAAATGAGGTTTATTAGCTGTAAATATGCTTCTACTAAAAAAATGACCCAGACAATTAACTTACTGATATCCCTAATCTTTCTGTGGTGACACAATACTTAGATATGTGTGACCCTTTCCTATCATGTCRCAGTAGTAACTCCTTTTGATCAAAGATTCTATATCTAAAAGCAAACTCGAGAGGGACTTGAAAAAGCYAAATACTTTCTTGAAGCAAATTTTCCTGTCTCTTAGAACAGTAGAGCTAAATTTTCATTGTATAGTTTTGATTGTCAGCTATTTACTTATTTTTATGACTTGCAAGAGCTCAGTTTTAGAAGGGAAACACTGATTTACACCAGAAGGAGGAAATTGGTTCTATGCGCAATTTAGTAAAAAAAAATCAAAGTATTATGAAGAAACACAATGAATTCTTG